CTTGTCCCTCACATATTGGAGCCTCTATCTCAGTATTCTCTACAGTTTCCCTGACTTCACCATCTTCAAAGTCATCTTCTGCTCTACCATCATGTTCCATATCTATAGCTGGAGCTAAGTCACGATTGCCATCTGACTCATAACCAGAGCCATATGAATCTTCTAGAATATCACCGGATAAATTAATTTTTTCCTCATCACTTACAGAACCCTCAACCATTCCCCGTGATTCAGACGGTTGTACAGCCATGAATTTCAGTCTGCAATTATCAGGATCTTCAACACTCTTATTTTCAGAATTAGAGTTATCTATTTTACCAGAAATGTTTGATTCATTAACATCATGACCCACAGAAGAAATCATTTTGGAAGCAACCTGGCCCTCACCGCTAGACTCAGTTTCTTTGGCTTGAATAAAATGTTCCACATGATTCGATGCATCACCATGTAATGACAAATCAGAAGAAGTAGGCACTGTTGTGATATTCAGAGGATGTAGGATCTGCTCATCTGATTGGTTCAATGATCCCTCCATTCTCTTTGGCGTTTCCCGGTTATCCTCGTGAACTGGTTCAGGTTTTACAGATCGAACATCAACTAATTTTAAGGCTGAAGATTTTGAACTTTCTGAACTGCTCCTATCAACTAATTCATGCTTCATTGGTACAATATTTAACAAGCCTATAGGATCAGCTTTAACTGCAGCAGAATTAGTTTTGATGCTCTCATCAAGTGGTTCTGATTTTACAGGCTTAAAGTTAGACACAGTCAGATTGCTGACAGGCACTGATTCTGCAGGTAAGTTGATATTTGCCATGACTTTGAGCAAATCCTCTTTCGCTGATGTGCTGGAATGTTTTTCATTGGAGTTCAAATGAAGATAAGGGGTAGTGAGGCCTAAACAAAGTGAATCCTCTGTGTTATACTGCTGGCTAGATAGTGTGGATGACATTGCAATTTTGATTCTGTGCTCAACCTCATGAACTCTTTGCTGTTGTGTGGGCATACTGGTACCAGTCATCCCACCTGAGCAAAGTAATGGCTTTATAGCATCCATATGAGTTGTTTTTTGACTTGCACCGTCATTACTGGCAGGACCTTCCCAAGCATCCATTGTAGTATTCAAATCCCAGTTTGATCGGTCAGCAAGCATATTAGCACCAATACTATTAGGCTGGACATTGCTATTTCTAAGTTGAGTACTAAATTCTCCTTTGCTTAAGGATAGATTCAAAGAAACAGGTTCTGCTTTTTCATGCTCCAGACAATCATGCTCATTATTTCCACTAGCCATAGCTGAAACAAGATGTTCCCCTAAACCTAATGACAATCCCGGGTTCCCAGAAACTGTAGGTAATTCTGATCTAAACTTTCCATCTACATTTTGCTGGCTATATACATCTTTCCCTACATTAAGGGTAAGAGAATCACCACCTACTAAGTCCAACTCAGGTTTTGCTGACTTTCTGATGATATTGTCACCATCTACTCCAGTTGCCACATGCTTTCCTTTGCTGTCAATATCAGCCAAAGACCTAGAGTTAACCGGAAAGCTTTGTTCTTCAAGTTTTACCCTAAGGAGGTTATTATTGCCCTGCACCATGCTACCATTTGTTCCATCAGAACTTCTCTTCTCCTTCTCGGGTACAGTTTTCCCACTTGCATCAGAAAAGCTAGAAACACTTGCCGCAATACTACTAGCATTTGAAAAACTTGCTGCAACACTATTAGGCTTAGAAGTTTCCACAGCGCAACTAGCACTAGAACCTGCTGTAACACTACTAGCATGAGAACTCGCTGCAACACAAGAAGCATTACAACTCACTGCAACACTAACAGCATTAGAACTTGCTGCAACACAAGAAGCATTAGAACTAGCTGCAACACAAGAAGCATTAGAACTTGCTGCAACACAAGAAGCATTAGAACTTGCTGCAACACTAACAGCATAAGAACTTGCTGCAACACTACCAGCATTTGCATTCGAACTAGTTGCAACACTACCAGCATTTGCATTCGAACTAGTTGCAACACCACTAGCATTTGAACTTGCTGCTACGCCACTACTATTTGAACTTGCTGCTACACCACTAGTGTTTGAACTCACTCCAACAACACTGATGTTTGAACTCGCTAAAACACCGCCGATGTTTGAACTCATTAAAACACCACCGGTATTTGAACTTGCTGCAACAGTACTAGCATTTGAAGTAGCTGAACCCTGAAGTGGACTAGAAAATCCTTTCTGCTCTGAATTATTTTCAGTTGGCAGTGAAGGTGAATCTTCAGTCTGTTCAGAAGATGTCCAGATTAAAGGAAACCTCCTTTTCTTTATTGGAATACCTGCACTATATTCACTAAACTGCCCAACGCTGGGTTTAACCCCCGTCTGCCAACAGAACATAAATTAATCAAAACTCAACCAAAAAAAAAGTTAAAAACTTGCAACAGTGTCTCTAACCTTAGATGCTAGTAATTTAAAAAAGAATAATAAAGATAGACACCTCTTCGTTTCCTGATACCGACATGATCCCCAAAATTCGCCTAGCGTATTAGCCCTTCAGCTTTCCTCTTATCAGCTTTTATTTCAATTTAATTTCCACCAAAAGAATATTCTTTACAACCATTCCTGAGATCCTATCCAATTCAAAACGCAAAATTTCCAAATCAATTCAAATAAGTTAATTTCCGATTGTCTCCCTAAAAACCCAACATGAAAACCAGTAAGAAGCACCTGCAAGCAAAAAAGAAAAAAAGAAAAATGGTAAATCTGTACAGCTAAAGAGAGGTTCACAAAATAATTAAAGAGGTTCCACAAATAAATAAACTAGCACAAATTAATTAAACACAATTTTATGAGGATGTTATACATAAAAATAAATAAATAAACATGTAAACCGATTGGAATAAGAATTAAAAATCTAAAGCCAATCAAAACTTTAAAAACAAACAGATCATTCCTTGCACTGAATTAAATCAACACAAATTATTGGGGAAAAACAAGATAAATTCAATCTGAAATTTCAACATAAAATTTTAAAAGAAATGAATCGGTTTCCAGGAAGATGTACCTGTATCAAAATCAGACAATAACCGTTGACCGAATTACAATAACTATTAAAAATTTAAAAATCGGCGAAAAAACAAACAAAAAATCAAAAAAATCAGAGAAGAAAAAATTACCCGATCAAAATGAAGAGAGAAAAGAAAACTGAAACTGATGAACAAGAAAGAAAAGAGAATCTAATCAAGCGCGTTTCCTAGGGTTTGAGGGGTACCTTTATTGCTGTACACTTCCATTATTATATAGACGAATTTGTTTTACTATTTTTTTATTTTTCTTTTTTCTTTCTTTTAACAAATGATTCGATGGAGTCTTTGTCAAGGGTCCGCAGCACGATGTCCAATCCGTGATTGACACGTGTTGTATCGTTGAAAAAGTTAGGGCGAATTGGCTCCACCATAGTTCACCCACCTCCGTTTGTCGACCATTATTCATCAGCCTTTTTCTTTTATATTTAAATTTTTTTCTTTTTTGTTTTTGAGAATTATTCTTGACAAATTTATGCTGCCTTCACTAGATATTATTCCAACTTAAAATAATTGGAAAGTAAAATAAATTTACAGAAAATACAGATTTTGTTTCTTTTTTATTTCGATTATATTTTATTTTCTATTAAATTCAAAAAATATCATTTCATGAACTAAACCTTAGTATAAAAACAAGAATATATCCCGCATATTTTAAAATAATTATATTTTATAAAAAATAAAAATTCACAAATTGTCCTAATAATTCTTAATTAAAATAAAAAAAAAAACCCCAAGGAAGGAATAGAATCCAATATTTCTGTTTACTTTTTAGTCTCTTTTTGGGGACTACTTCAATGATGGAAAAAAATTTTGAAATTAATGAAATTTTAGTAGGATTGACATGATACCCTTTTTTGCTATATAATAACATAGGCACAAAATAATAAAGATTTACTATATAAATATAATGATATTCACAAATTATTTTTTTAATTAAGCTATAAAATAAATGGTACTTGAGAAATTATTGAAAGGTTAGGTCCTCTCTAGGGGGATACCAAGTAGGGAGTAATTGAAAAGTTGAAATTTGGTAGAACAAAGCCACAAAAATTGTACCAAATTTTGACATTGACCAAAAATTGGTCCCCTATCTTTACATTAAATCCATTTGTCCACAAAATTAATTAGTAGTACTATAAATAATTTTTTTTTAATTAATTCAACATTTTATTATCATTATTATCAAATTTAAAATTTTTATTATCCAAACAATCGATTTTTTGCTAAAAAAATAAAGATTCACTATAAAATAAAATGGAATTCACAAATTAATTAATTTTGCCTTTTTTTCTAAAAACTAGAAAAATTAATCCTAGTTGAGAAACTAGGGGAAGGTTAGGGCCTCTCCAGGAATAAGGAAGGAAACTTCAAGTGCAAGTACACAAACAGACAAAGCCAAGAAAAGGACACTCTCACATCTATATCATAATTAAAAGAGAGTTCTTATGGCTTTTTCATTTTGCTTAAAACTCTTAGAGATTAAGCTACGGGCTTGACATGTAATGGGTTGAAAGTCAGAGGGGTTTTATCATAGGTTTCTTAGGTTTTTCATTTTGACTAAAAGCTGGTCCCAATCCTTACAAATTGAACCCATTTTGTCCACAAAATATCTACCATTATATTTTGGAATTCAATATTCCTACCCCAGCACGTTTTTTTTTTGACCATTTAATTTTTTCTCTTTTCAATTAAACCAACTGATATAAGTTTTTGTTCTTTATCTTTTTATTTTTTGCAGTTCAGTCCTAACCAAGCTTATGGCGATAGGATGGTTGGGCATACCTGGAAATAGAATTATTTTAATTGTACACACCCAATCAAAGGTTTAAGTCTACCGGTCAATTCAGCTAATCTCAATCCAGTTTTCACTTCCCACGCTCCGCTTTAGGCCATTAATAAGTTGCACGTATCAAAATTTGGAATGTAATTATATTAAAGAAAACAAATATGATAAAAATGATAAAGACAATTTCGCATCAAAAACACCATTGATATTTTTCATTCCTGAATTTCCACCAAACAGAACCATAATAAAAAACCCTAACCACCAAACCCGTAAAGGGTACGGCCTTGTCTCTTGAGCGCGTAAACGACGTCCATGGCGGTGACGGTTTTGCGGCGGGCGTGCTCGGTGTAGGTAACGGCGTCTCTGATGACGTTTTCAAGGAAGATTTTGAGGACGCCGCGCGTCTCCTCGTAAATAAGACCGCTGATACGTTTAACGCCGCCACGGCGAGCCAAACGGCGGATGGCTGGCTTTGTGATCCCTTGGATGTTATCGCGGAGGACCTTACGGTGCCGTTTTGCTCCTCCTTTTCCCAATCCTTTGCCTCCCTTGCCACGCCCAGACATTTTTGCACAACTGAAAGACTATGAGATAGCTTGATTTGGTGACCTTCAGAGCCAAGGGAAGGGGCGTGGTGGTTGGGTATCTATAAGGAAGCTTTGAACGGGAATCGATCCTTGTGTACTCTTCTGGGGGAAAGTTTTGGGCCGTCGATGGTGAATGAACGGTTGAGCTTTGGGGATTTGTATTAATGTTGGATCGATGACATGGCATTATTTTATTATGAAATTTGTATTCTTTGGAATTTTAATATATTTTTCGCTTATTCATTCTTGATTTATATTTATAATCATAATTTTTTTTTTAAGTTTTAATTAATTTTATGAATTAAATTGATATCCTTTGAACTCCTAATATCAAATTCAATAATTGATATTAATAATTAGTATAAATTATAAATTATAATTATAATAACAGATTATTTATTAAAATTAAATTCACCTATGTAACACAATATGTTTTTTCATCTATTCTGGGGACAAGTCCGAATTTACTATTTTATTCAAGATAATAGTGTAAATTTCTTACTTATCTTTATAGGCTGTAAGTTTATCATTATATTTTATAATTTGATTAATAAATGTTCAAAAATTAATATTTCATTAGGAAATAAAGAAATATTTTAATTCTAACTTTTAATAATATTTGAATCAAATTAAAAAGTATAGTTTTAAAACTATATTAACTCAAAGATGAATAATAAATTTGGATCTTATCTCTTAACAATTTTATGATTATACTTTGTCATATTGAAATTTTGTTTATGTTTGGGCATAAAGCAAGTATTCATGCTTTTATGCTTGACATGATTCAATATATATATAGATTGAAATCACATAAGTGTTATTGTATTATATTATATAATAACTGAATATGAATATCAGCCTCAATAGAGAAATATAACATTAAAATGATTTATTTTTTCTTTATTTATATTATTTACTTTTTGAAAAGCTATTATAAAATAAAAGTAAAAATTAATAACATAATTGATTTAAAATAGACAGATAATTAAAATTTAATACTAATTATAATATAATTAATCTATATAAAGAAGTAAAATCATGACTATTGTCATTTAAATAATTACATATTTTGCATATAATCTTTCATAAAAATTTATTTATATTTACATCCAAATGGGGTTTTTCTAATTTTATGTTTCTAAAAATAAAAAAAATCTAATTAAATGAAGTAAATTAAACATATTTTTTACATAATGATAATAATATTTCAACTATGTCATATAATTAACTAAAAGTATATTGATATATTATAATAAATGATAATACAGTATAATAATGTAACATGATAACATAAGATATTTTTCACTTATTATGTATATGTTAGGTAAACATAAAGCTATAAGATTTTATTTGATATAAAATAAAAGTACAAAAGCTTAAAATTTATATATAGCAATAGGTACCTTTTACTCAAGCATCCATGGGAATCTGATTTAATTATATAGGATTTGAGTATTTTATGTTTGGGTTTTGGGGTAAGCTTGGATAAAAATATTTATTTTATGTTTGGGTTTGGGGTAAGTTTGGGTAAAAAATTTACTATCTATATCAGATTTAGATAGAAAACTTTGAATATCTAATACCTAAACCTATTTATATAAAAATATGTATAAAATATTTTGTATATATATTTAAGTTTGAAATGAGGTTAGACAAAAATTTTATTATTAATGTCAAGTTTAGATAGGGTACTTTTAATATCCAATACTTGAACCTGTTTACATATAAATATATATAAATATATTATATATTTAAATTTAAGACAAATTTTAATAAATATTTTATTATACATATTGAGTATAGGTAAGGGTTCAAGTATGATACTTTGAATACTCGATACTTAAACTTGTTTATATATAAATATATTGGATGCTTTTAAGGGGGATTGAACCTGGACAAGATATTTAGTCAATTTAACCAAATTCATATTTTTGATATTATATGAAAATAAATTATACAGATTTTTTTTCACTTAATTAAAAATATATATTATTTTATTTTAATCTCTAATCCTAAATTAATATTTCATAAAGTTTAAATAATATTTTTAAATTTTATTTAAATAATTATAAGGTTAGAGTATTTTATAATTTAATAAAATCCAGATTTGAGTAATACTTTACCGATTGACATCTTTAAACTGATTAAAAATAAAAAAAAATAATTTATTTAAAAGTTTTTAAATAATTTAAAAATATTTTCAAGCATTATACCAAAATTATGGTCACATAATACCTTTATATATACTTATTATCCATGATAGAACGCTCTAAAACGGTGCTAGATTAACCCAATACTATCATAATCCACCAAGGAGCATGGTAATCCCAAAATTCAAACAAACACTCTAATAAAAGTTTCAAATGCATTCACATTTCCCAGGCCCAGCTTCAAGTGATCCTCCCCCGACGCTGTGTACACGGCGGGGAAGGAAGCTCCCAAAGCGACGACGTACTAATTCCCTTAGCACGCCGATGCTCCAGGGCGGTCATCGACTCTCAAAGCTTTGGCGGTCGCCAATAACTCCACTCTTCAACCTCTGTCACCGTCTCCTCATTAACTTTAAATTCTCCTCTCTATCTCAAGCTAAGGTGCTTCCTCTCTCTCTCGCTCTTTTATTTCCTGCTTGGTTCCCGAGAAAATATAGGAAACTTTCTAGCAGTTATGTAAATACATTTGCGATTTTATATTTGTTTTTACAGCGGCTGCTATCTAGATTTTTTTTTTGGTTATTTTTAGATTATTATCCTTTAAATAAGGAAATTAGCCCTTAATTATTAAGTTAATATGATTGGTTGAAGGATTATTATCCTATATATTAGCGTTAGCATTTAGACACTCTATAAATGGGGGCTTACATGATTGCCGTCTGTCAAGAATGAAATAATAGGTTTTTTTTTTTTGACCTTTTTTCTTCTTCCATTGTTAATTAAATAATTGTGTTGTTATCACAGGGATTAGATTCTTTGGATGAAGAATGTGAGGAATTTTTGCCTTGGTTGGAGCGAAAGGCTGGGGTTGAGATTTCTTCAGTGCTCTCTATTGGGAAATCCGCATATGGCAGGTTATTTCAGTTTATTTATTTACTTTTTTTAGTTTTTATGTTGGGGAACGATTTGTGGTTACTTTCTTTTTTAATTTCAATGGAATCTCTTATTTTTATTATTGCTTGTATGTTGCTCTTGAAAACAGTTCAAACACGCACTGGTTTATATTTAAGAAACTTTTGGGGCATGCTTTATTGCATATCAATGTACATGGATTGTTTGCAAGGAAAAATAAAACTGAACTTATATGTATCGGATCAGTATATGGCAGAAGATCAAAGCAGGGAAATAGTGTGGGTACACTGGCTATTCTTGTTTAATGCAGGGTTGGTGGTGCAGGCAATTTGGTCCATGCATTTTTGGGGCAATAAAGTACTGACTAGAATTATGAAATATCCCTTTGACATTCATGTAAGGAGGAACCATTGTGGCGAAGCAACCATTGTTTGAAGAGTGTTGCTTGTTAGAAAATATTTTGTTCTCTTTAGTAGGATGGACAAATGCGTGGAGCTTAATCGTAGCAGGATAGCTGCAAATGGGAATGAATTGCAAGCTTAAATTGCTTGAGAAGAGATAATTGTAAGATCCCTTCCATGTCAATGAGCTTCAGCCTCCTGCCCCTTTAGAATCATTCGTTAAAGGCATCTCTTGCATGTGGGTTGTGGCTTTCTTTTTCTTAAATTGCTTTCTTGCCTCCTCTTTTTTCTGTATATTTAAGGAATCTTAGATCTCATAAGTTTCATTGTAAAGATAGCTAGAGAATACTCATACAGTTGTACTCCCTATTTGTTTCCTTAATAGCATGGAGTAAACAAAGTTCTATGTGTTGGAAGACCTTTATAGTATGTTAACACCATGGATACATCTCCAGATAGAAAATATTAATTGCCTTGCTCTCTTGTTATGAGTCTTATGAAGCTCTTAAGGTTTATTTTTATTTTTTAAATCCGTTATTGCAGGTCACTGTTTGCTTCTGAGATCATCCGAACTGGGGACTGCATATCGAAAGTTCCTTATAGCGTGGTATATGATTTGCAATTCTTTATGTTCAACTCTTGTATGGTGTCTTAAAAAAAATAAGGATGTCAAGTTGTACATAATATTCTTAATTTTTCAGCAAATAACACCAGACAATCTTCTTCCAAAGATTAAAGCTTTACTAAGTAATAAAGTTGGGACTGTTGCGAAGCTTGCTATTATCCTTTTAGTTGAACAAAAAATGGGCCAGGTAACAAGAATTTTCTTCTCTTAATCTGTTTTTGAAAGCTCCAATTCCTATGAATTAATGATCGTGCATAGCTTCAACATCATTATATATTTAATAGTTATTTTTTGGTTGTTTGTTGAATTTCTGTCTTTAGTTTCAATGTTTAATTTCGGAGGAATGTCCAGATCTAAATGATTTAATTATTTATCGATTGCAACAGGATTCTGAATGGGCCTCTTACATCAGTTGCCTTCCTCAGCATGGGGAAATCCATAGCACGGTAAGTGTTTCCTCATCTATGGTTTTGAAGCTTTTGATTCTTATGGCCAATGGAAATTAAAATTTTGCATGGCATCGCTCTTGATATAACTGTATAAATTAATGAATGACATTGATGTTTAAGATGAAAATAATTCCTCCTGTAACTTTTTGAGCAGTGGAGCATATTTTCTTTATTATTTGTACATCTCCTTTAAATTTGCCGTTCTTATGGGGAAAGATTGTTAGTAGAAGCAGATAATATTGTAACATTCAATTTCTCCAATTTAAATTTGTGGAGATTAGTTTTGTGGTTAGGGGTGACCTAGTCAAATGAAACTTTTTGAAAGTAAAACCTGTAGCTGCAACTTCACAATTTTCATTAGATGCCATTATGCTCAGAGTCATAAAACTTCTTTTTCTTGGGATATATGGGATACCCAGTTCTTCTCATCCTAATAAAGGAGCCTCATTTGCACCTTTCATTGTTTCTTTCTTCCCTACTTTCTGATTTCATTACCCTTGTATGATCTGTTGTTTAGGTAGGTCTAAGTATTTACTGGAGTAGTTTGGAAAATATTTGAATTGGTAATTTCCTGTGCCCCTATAGATTTTCTGGAGTGAATACGAGTTGGATATGATTCGTCAAAGCTCAGTATATCAGGAAACAATAAATCAAAAATCTAAAATAGAAGAGGATTTTGCTGCAGTTGTACCTGTAAGTAGTTGTTCCTTTTCTCTAGTTAATTTGTTGATATACATGCAGATACAGAATCAAACATGCATTGCTATGTGTGTCGCTGGTTCACTGTCATGTATAACGTGTGTGGCTATTCACTACAATATTCTTAATTCCAAGTCCTATTCTAAATCTGGGGACAAAACAACAGAAATTCTTGAGCTTCTATTAAAAGTGTAAATTTTCTTCTTTTAATTTTGTTTTCAACTCTCAAAGCTGAGTTAATCACGGATAATAGTTTACATCATGCATAATTTGTCTTTCTTTACATCATTCATAACTTGGTTGCATTGGTTTCAATCTTGAATATAATAAAAAAAAAAAGAAGAAAACTATTTGGCGCAAAAAAGTGGGGAAAAGGAAAGAAGAAGAATGGTTAAAGCTCCTTAGCTGCAGGAAAGGAATAGGGTGTGTTCTAATCTTTTCATAGCTGTTTTTTTTTAGTTAAGATATTTGTTGTATGTTGGCTTTGTTTGCCTTGGGAGATGTGATTATGACAAGGTATTCATATGATTTCAGGTCCTTGAACAATTCCCTGAAATTTTTGAAAGCATCACACTTAAGGATTTCATGCGTGCATATTTCTTAGGTCAGGCCTTATTTACTAATTTAGTATCTACTACTGATGGTCCATTCTTTCTTGCTGAGTTCAAATCAATTTTTTTTTTTTTCAAATAAGAGAGTTTATGGCCATGTTTCTTTAGTTTTTCAAATTTCTTTTGCTGCTAAGATTATATATAATTCTGCTGAGCCATGATGTATTTGATGCTGATTAGATTACATCAGTTAATTAAATTTGGTGAACCATAACAGATTTTTAGAAAGTGATAAATGGCAACTAGGATTTCCTTCGTGAAGTAGTAATATATGGTCTGGTCCTCATGTTTAGTTAAATTTTCTAACTAGTTTGTTGTCAATGTGGTAGTAACATCTCGAGCCTGGGAAAGCACAAAGGGCCTGTCTCTGGTATTGTTTCTCAAAGATGTCAATTTTTTCTGGAGGGTTTTCAACAGTTACTTCTAGTATTGTTAAATTTTAGCACAACAGCCTTTGATTTTTTTTTTTAAATTTATTATGTAGATTCCGTTTACAGATTTTATGAATCATGACGGGGTTTCAGACTCAATTGTATTATTTGATGAAGATAAAAAGTTGTCAGAGGTATGCTGACTAAGCATTAATGAGAGAATAGTTTTAGATGCTGTCAGAGGTTATGATGTACTGATAATGAAGGTTCTTGTTTTTATTGCCATACATCAAATAGTCTCCCCTTATACAAATTGGTTTTAAGTTTTTACTTTTGATTTGTTAAAATATATCTTTAGAGTTTTTTTTATTTTTAAATGACTTGAGCAGGTTATTGCTGATCGTAATTATGTTCCTGGTCAAGAGGTTAGAAATATTTCAGTGGAAAGGTTTCTCTTCTTTTCTTTTCTTTGGGAGAATTTCTTATATTTGTTCCCTTGTTAGTTTTTAGCTTTTGTTGGTTTATTTTAAATTCCCTCTTTTCCTCCTTGTCTCTTAGTGCCCGGAACCCTTGGCTTTAAAACTTTATTACAAACATGTAAAGCCAACAAGCTTCTACTTATTTGTGCATGTGCTCAACTTTTATCCCTGGAGGCTTATTTATTCCTTACCTGCTCTTTTGTTTGATTGCCTTGGTTATTTTATCTCTTGTTTTGCTCTCTCTCTCTCTCTCTCTCTCTCTCTCTCATATTCACTTACCCTTTCCTATTCTGAAGTTGTCTGGTGTGGTAATCTCTGACCAGAAATTCAATTTAGATATGTACTGGACCGAATAGCGATCTTGAATTACAAAAATATATGTGCTCGATAAGTGATTGCATTTGGTTGCTAATTATTACTCTACAGTTTTAGAAAAATTTAATACTCTGAGTTGTTTTCAGTACTCTGTTCATATTCTGAAGTACACCAGGATACTACTTCAGTGAATCATATGATTTAGTCTGTATGCTGCATCTAGGGCATTATAAGGATGCAGATTGTGAGCTGTACATGCCACTCGAAGTCTTGCATATTATTAAAATATGTAATACTTTTGCTTCTCAAAAAAAAAAAATGTAATACTTTTAACATCAGATTCAGATTTTAAAGAGCCCCCTTAAGTTTGACTACTCCTACAATTTCTTTTTTTTTTCATGATTAAATTTTTAAAATTTTAGTCTTTTGATATATGGTTTGAATGTTAATACAGTCATTGGTGTTTTCCCTATGTTCTAACTAGGAATCTGTCAGTATGGTTGTGTTGTTTGACTTTAAGCTTGTGGTATGGTGCTGCAGAATCTGAAGTTCACTTCAATTGCTTGTCTAGGTACTGATAAATTATGGAAACTTTCCAAATGCAACGCTGCCGCTGGACTTTGGCTTTACACTTCCATACAACATTCATGACCAGGTTAGTTTTGGAAGTCAGCTTGAAGTACTTATTTTCTTTGGTATAACTGTATAAGCTAGAGTTAAAAACACTATTCTGCATTTAACTTATTTTCTTTATATCTTAGTTTCTTTGTTTTCATTTGCAATTCACTTCCTTAGTCCAAAGGCAAAAATCTATCCACTACATAAATGTGGCTAAATGCTATTTTGTGGTTTTATGATCTGAAGAATGATGCTGTTGACTCTCAGGTACAAATTCACTTCAATATCCCATATCATGATTGTCTACGTGAAATGAAGTTGGAACTTCTGCAACAACATTCTACACCAAAACTTAAAGATGCAATTAATTGTTCTGAAGATACTTTCTTAATCAAGTTGGTATTGATGCTTAGTTCTTTAATTTTATATTTTAATGACATAATAAAAATGTCACTGGGCGTTTGAAGTTATGGTGAATGTTATTCATTTCCGATGGATAAATGAAAACTACAAAGATTCATGGTAAAACCGAACTTCTGAGAACTGGAAATACTTGTGGATTTAAGGAGTTAGAAATGTTCTTGAGGCTGTTACCAAATATTAAATCATTTATTGATTTCTTTCAGTACTCTTTGGCCTAACCTCTGAAACAGCTTCTCTAGTCTCTACTGGCCAAATATGGGCTTTGGAAAAGTTGCCTTCAGCTTCTGAACAAGCTGAAATAAGGTTCTAATACTTAAAAGCGGATGGTGCTTCAGAAAGAGCCGCATCACTAAGCTACTAGACTAGCTTAATGAATTTTTGAACTAGCAAAATATTCAATTTCAACCTGATAAGACCATTGTCATAGTAGGAATTTGTCCTGTCCAAAGAATAAAAGATCTTAAAGTAATCCCTGCCAAAATTTGATTAGATTAATGGTGCTAATTCATTTAAACAACTCTTTGTTAGTATATGATAAAGTTTGAGTTTCAGCTTAGCCTGTAACTTTTTGCTCTGTTGATGTTTCAGCATTCAATTTTATCTAATGACATACATAACAGTAGTGATTTTGGTTAGACGTGGAAGTGGCCTCTGGCTTACCTTAATGAATCTTCCTCAAAGTTTTTTGTTCATGTGAAAATTGGGCTTGCATGACGACCTTCTCTTCTTTATAGAGTGCTTTGTACTCAACTAGTGATGTTGATTCCATCTTCTAAATATCTCTCTGCTAATTTTATATTTAGCATTTAGATTCAACTTTATAAAGTTACTGCCCTAGCAATTTCTTTTGGAGCCTGTATGGTATAGATGTCAGCTAAATAATCTTGTTTTTATGAATTCCTTATTGCTCCTATGGGAGTTGGACATATGACTTCTGAATCATATTACTGATTTTTGTTTGTGATTATGGGATTATTACACAGGGAAGTTAGGTCTCCTAGAGGAAAGGGGAAGGGTCTTCCACAGTCGTTACGTGCATTTGCTCGTGTTTTATGTTGTACCGCTCCAGAAGGTTTTTGTTTGGATAATCTTGCCTTCCTCGTGTTTTAATCGTTATTCAAGTGAATTTAATTTAAAGGCCTTGCGGTCCTAACATGTAATTTCATTCCAACTGAATCATCAGAACTTAGTGACTTGGCCATGGAAGCTGCACAAATGGATGGCCGGTTGGCTCGGCAGCCTCTGAAGGACAGCAGGAGAGAGTTGCTGGCACATGAGATGTTATTATCTCACATCACTCACTTAATGCAGAAATATGATGTAGCAATTAAGGTAAATTTCTTGCCACTTTTCATGCATTCAAATTCATTTAGTTAACAAGGTTTCTTTTGTTGATATCAACAAGAGAAGAGACAGTTTCTGGATGTTTATTTTAAAGGTGACAAAATGGCAATTGTTTTTGGATGCAAAGTCAATAAACATTATCCAATCATTGCTAGAAATAGTGAAAGAGTTAAAAATAATATGATTTTATAAATAGAAACAGTAATACATCAAGATGATGGAACGTTACTACCATTCTTTGCTCCAAAATGAAATTTCATTTTGAACCGAGGTATGCGTGGTTAACTTGTTCATATATAAAAAAGCAACAAACTCTTCTTAGATAATATGGAAAGATGGCATAAAATGCAATATTGATACCTTTGTAAGGACACTTGTACCCAGTGTTAAAATCATTATGTGAAATAAGGTACCTTTATCTTATTTACAGAAGCGCTTCACTTACTTCAAGCTTCTTTGCAGTCACTTGCTCCTGCTAATTTCCCCTCAATGAGTAAGAAATTTGCTCTTAGGAGGCAAATGGCTCATGATCTTCTTACCGGTGAGCTTCGTGTCCTGAATTCTGCATCCGCATGGTTGAACAATTACTGTGCAGCCCTGAGAGCAACCATCCACTGTCAGAGTCAGTGATCAAAAGATCGGAAGGCAAGAATTTTTCTTAGACAAATTTTTTTATGAACTACTTGGATCAGTCATCTCCCTGCTGAAATTTTTTTGACATTTTCTGGGATATGGTGAACTTTAAACACTTGGGGGAGGTTTGAGTAAAGCATTTGGAATTGATTGTTTATCTCTGGGGCCTTTCTAGCTCATGCTTGCATTTATGAGCTACTTTCTTACAAAATCCAACATGTTAAGTGTATTTCCGCCTCTGTTTTCTTACCTTTGTAATTCTAGGAATATGATTCCAAGGCTTAGCAGCCTTATTTAACAGCACAATCTTTGCTCTGATTCTTTTTCTCTTTCAGTTTATGAACTTATTATATTTAGCTTTGTTATTTAATTACAGGAAGGTATGAATTTCACAAGCTGATTTTGTCAAATTATTCAGTTTTTTTATTTATAAATAATCGAATACTGGGAGTGTCATAAACTCTTTTTCTTTTGAATTATATACGTTTTTGTAATTGAGTTTCTATATTTTTATTGTATCTAATTAAACTTTTCTTTTCGTTTGTACTCAATCAAGTCTTTTTCTTTTTTTAAAAAAATTTTTTGATTAATAGAGTTTTAACTCGTAATAAAAATATAACAGATTTTATTTTCAATAACAACTATCACCTTTTATATACATGAAATTTGATGCAGTGTGTAGATGATGTGACACGTATCACAAAAAAAATTCAAGTCGTCATTTTTTGTCACGTTTAATTAACATACTATGATAGATTTAATATATTTAGTAACTGATAAATATAATTAAAAAATAATATAACGTTTTGATATAAATAAAAGAAAAAATTTTAATTGGGTAATATAAAAATATAGAGATTCAATTACGAAAATAGATACAATTCAGGATTTTTTTGGGTTAAATTTGAGAATATTTCTTTCCTATCAAACAAGAAAAGCGTAAATTTCTTCTCATCCCATGGTTTTCTCTTACCAAACAAGCGTCAGATGTCCTCGGCAAAAGAAGGGAAAGGAAAAAGGAAACGGGCCTGGGAGGTTTGAAACTTTCCACTTTCGACAAGCCTATTATCGTAATTCCAAGGAAGAAAATGGGGGTCTTTTGGTAATTACAGGATTTCCTGATTTTTGACTGATCCTTATCCTTATGCCCTATAAATTAAAAAAGAAAACGACGCGTTTAAGCCCTCCTTTTGTTACTCCGCCACTCTGTCTACTCTCTCGCTCTCTGTCTCCCTCTCCCTCTCTTCGAGAAATCTAGGGTTTTTCATCTTTTTCTCCTTCTTCGCCTCCCTCCTCTGAAATTTCCTCGTAAGTTATCTGTTTTTTAGTTTCATTTCTTCGTTTTAATTTCTATTGGAAATCTCATGCTCTTAATTGTCCAATTTATCGATTATTCATTTATAGATCTGAAAGATTCTTGAGCTTTTAAATTTGAATTTTGCCGCTTTTTTATGTCATAGTTTTTCAAGCATATTATTTAAATATTTATTTATTGTTTTTCGGTTGTATGATTTGTAATAGTAATTTGGAGATGTATTCCTTTAACTTCAGGTTGTTAGAATTTGAAATCTGAAAAAAGAAATAATACTTTTATGATTGAATTTGTTGTCATTCGTTTCTAATTTTAGGTTTTCAGAAAAATCTCCTGAATTTTTATTGTTTTGTCTCGTTTTGTAGTATGTTTAGGTACGGTTGGTTCTTGCTTTTATTACTTGATTTTGTGTGCAATTGGATTTACAAGCGAACATGTTTTTGAAGAATTAAAAATTAAAATGGTATTTTATTGGATGAATTATGCAGGGTTTTACTTTTATATTAAAAAAAATCATGGCAGAATTAATATTGCATTTTTGTTGTCTTTTAAATTTAAATTTGATTATGATTTTCTGTTCTACTATTTGCTTTTGCTTCATAGTAAGCTTTTAGGAAGCACAAGCAAGTGGTGTAATAAAAATAACAGTTAAATGGAGCTTTAAGTAGCCTTGAACGGACTGTTGATTGTGTTATATAGGACAATAAGTCTTTCTTTTATTAGTTTTTATAAGAACTAAGAAGTGGTGTATTTTAACTATGTAAATCTTTGTGTAATTTTATTTTTTTTGGTTCTCATGGAATAATTATTGCAGGAAAAAAATGCCTAGGTATGATGACCGCCGCAGTGGTACTCGCCTTTATGTCGGACACTTGTCTTCAAGGACAAGATCACGTGATCTAGAGGACATGTTTAGCAGATATGGGAGGTAATCGAGTCTTTTGTTTTGTTCAAGGATTCATAAAATTTATAATTGTTGCATTTAGTAGAGTGGTTTAATTGCTGCTGTTTATTTAGTATACTTGTTTCAAGTGTTTGGGTGTTCATGGTTGTTTTATTCTTTTGTACTGATGGCCATTAGGATAGGTTCAGGGTGTAGTGATGATGAAGTAGGAGAAAATAGAGTCCTTGCCAAGCCCTTGTTGTAGTGCTTGACATCAGGTCTTCCTTATAAAATATGACTGAGGATGTTGCAACCCTCCACGTGTCTGTGTGGTTTAACTTGAATGATCTTGTTGAAGGTCTCATGGCTTTTGCCTAACCCGGAGGTCTATGGTGAGAGGGTGACCTTGGTGGATTTGGCGAGTCTTTCTATAGTGTTATTGCGTGTTTTTATCGAAATGGCAACAATCTCAAAAGTGGTGTTTTTGGTTCATCTGTGAGGGGCGAACTATCAACCCTTCGATAATTGTGTCATGATGGCCTTACTGTTTCTGGCACCCGTTTACGCAGAATACGTGATGTGGATATGAAGCGCGACTATGCATTTGTTGTATGTATTTCGCTACTCATTTATTTTGATCCCAAACAATTTTTCTTCCTTTTATATAAATTTCTTCACCATATGATGTAAATATGATCTTTTCTCTTGGATCTTTTTCTTCTTTCTTTGTGTCTACTGCCTCCCTGATAACAGGAATTTAGCGACCCTAGAGATGCTGATGATGCAAGATATGCATTGAATGGTCGAGATCTAGATGGAAGCCGTATCATTGTGGAATTCGCCAAGGGAGTAAGTTTTTTGATGACTTTCCACATATCAGAGATTTCATTAGTTTCTGTTTCCTTTTTTTAAATGATAATATCTCAATAATGTTGTAAAGGCTACGAGTATCATATGTAAGCCATTGGCCAATTTGATCGTTCAGTGGTGGAACTTTTGATGTATTTATTTATATCCTTAATCCCTTTGGGACTTTGGGAGATGTGACACATAAAATCTGCATGCTCAGTTAGTTAGTGCATTTATTTGACTATAAGCACCTGTTTATATGCTTGCGTGCCCATGACAAGTTAATTTGATGATATGCACACACGCATGCACACCCCCATACCTTATAGTTATATATTACCTGGTATGGTGTGATGCTGTGTGACAGCCCATATAGTTAGTCTATATTGTTTGAACGTTGAATCTGAATGGAGTTGCATTTAGGTGCCCCGTGGCCCTGGTGGATCTCGTGATTACCCTGGAAGAGGAGGACCTACTCCTGGGTCAGGACGCTGCTTCAACTGTGGAATTGATGGTCACTGGGCTCGTGATTGCAAAGCTGGAGATTGGAAGAATAAGTGTTATCGCTGTGGAGAACGAGGCCACATAGAAAGAAATTGTCAAAACAGTCCCAAGAAACTGAGGTCCTCTCCCTCCCCCCTTATCTATTTGTCTTACTCTGATCAGTTTTGTTGGAATAGGTGTTATCATATCTTATCAGTTAAAACTTCCAATTTGTTTACTTGAGAAACAATTATATTGGCGCAGCCGCAGACCACGCAGTTACTCACGCTCACCTAGTCCCCGCCGTGGTAGAAGCAGAAGCCGTAGTTACAGCAGGGGGCGTAGCGACAGGTTAGTGTTTAGCTTTCCTTGCAACAAGAGTCCAGTTCTGTAATTAATACAAATTACCTTATGAAATAATTCAGTCAAATCTGACTTTACCATTTTTGTTGGATTACATTCTAAAACAAAATTTAAATGTCCTTTTGCTATGGTTTGTGCGTGAAAGCACTCATGCAAGTGAAAAGAATTGGGGAATATTTAATCTACAGAATTGTTTTGGTTTGTTAAACTGCTGGGCCTGATTCTTCTTTGTGCTTAATTTTAACCTTCTGCAGTAGATCAAGATCACCTGTGAAGAGAGAAAGAAGTTTTGAGCGTGACGATAGAAGATCAAGGAGCCCTAAGCGCCACAGGGGTTCTCCATCTCCATCCAAGGGGAGGAAGCATAGTCCAGCACTCGATGAAAGAAGCCCACGAGAGAGAGGTAGCCCTTCTCCAAGGGACCGCAGGCACACCAATGGTTCAGATTACAGTGCAAGTCCTAGGGGAAGGAGCAGAAGCCCAGACCGTGAAGCTGATGGCGAAGGAAGGTCTTATAGGAGCTCTGTGAAGGAAAACGGCCACAGCCGCAGCACTAGCCCACTCCCTAGGGATGACAGGAGCCCAATCTACGATGATGATGAGAATCATGCTTCTCCTAGGCGCAGTGAATCAAATTAAAGCAGGTGGTGGTGGTTTGAATGGTATGTCTTAATGACAACAATCTGTGTTTGCGAGCACTTTTGAGTTTTATATGGATGGAGAACTTTTCCTTCTAGAATATTAAGAACTGTTGAGATTTATTAGAGTCTGTTTCTATAAATCCCTCTTTATCTTGTCTTTAGTAAATTACTTTTTACAGCTGCGAATGACAGTTGATGATTTTCTGCATAAACTATGATCTATGATTTGCACAATATCACTTACTAGTATCTCTCCTTTTTTGGTTCAATGGCACTCTAGGGCTCGACTCTTTTAAGATTTTCTAACTCAATGGTTCTGCCCAAACATAAAAGAATTGGAATTCCAATGCTCCCTGGTATCAGTCATACATGTGATTGGGGATGATGGAGGTAGCCCCAAAACTCTTTCATTTCGTCTTATTTGAGAAATCATGCGACCTCCGGCAAGCATTATTTAACCACTGCAACATAATTCCTTCCAGAAAGATCATTCTAATTCTAAAGTATCTTGAAGATACTAATTGTTTTTGGTCATGCTTAATTCCCCGTAGATGCTGGTGTCAATAGATTTCAATGGTTTTTGTGCTTCAAGATTGGTTGCTGCTCAACACTGATCGAGCTTATTGAACTTCATGCTGTCAATCCATTGTCCGAACTGTCTTTTGTGATTACTTTGAAGATTGGTAATGCGATTTTTAGGTCAAACTCGGAAACTGCTTTGCATATCAAACAGGATTATAGTGTTTATTGGAATTGTCAACAGTGGTATGAAATGAGAGATATCGTTAGGTGATTTTGATTATAGACGACAAATCAATTTGTTGCACTAGTGATTCAAATGAAAAGAAATGAATCAAATACTAATTCAGATTTACTTACTTATTGGGCTATCTCTTCCGGTCAGGTCCGGTTCAAGAGAACGCACTTTTGCCTTCCATTCACAACCTGCTTACAAGGAAAGCATTAACAAAGGCAATGGCTTTGCCACCCCAAGGTGAAAGCAGCAACGCCATGGGGCACTGCCACAAAAGTGGTGCTCCAGTTTCTTCTGCATAATGGCTCGGATCAAAGAGAAGCTTGAAGAGGTTACTGATCAGGTTTCAAACATCAAAAAATGGTTTGTTTGCCTTGGGAACTATATAACTTTAACATCCAAATAACTAATGGCTGTAGAATACTAACTAAAACAAAGACATACAATCAACTAACAGGAAATGGTTCTTATTCAATTGCATAATAAGGTAGAAATGTACGTTAGCCTATTTTTTTTGCTAATTAAACAGACAAGTTAATAAAAATTACAAGGAAATGAACTTTTTTTTTGTCCTGCATATTTACAAGAGGTGAATTGTTCAAAACCTAACAAGTTTTAAGGTACAAGAAGAATTGCTATGAAAAGTTCTGAAATCAGAAAATTTTCAAATGTCACATGCACCGACGTATCCACAGTTGGTGCAGAAAACGCCCAACAACTTGAGGAAACTGCCCAACAACTTGAGGAAACAGTCCGGAAGAATTTTTCTCTTAAATACATTATAAGTCTTGACCATGCAGATTTATGAGATATAAGCCTTTACCAGCTCTGAATAATTGCAGACCAGACCTGTCCTTGGACATGTAATATTACCATTGTTTTTCTCAGCCATTTCCTTGAGAGCCTGCAACACAAAACAAGGCGTCAAAACACTAGCACAATGAAAAAAATAACAATAATACCATCAGTAAAATGTAAAATTTATCGAGAAAAAGGTGGACCCTAGTGCTGTAGACATAGCCATTAGGCAAGACTTGTGGCGGGTTCTCTGTATCCATTAGCTCTTTGGTTATGTAGCATACTAGCTTTGAGTGGTGCTGCTTGGAGTATGGCAAAGGTAATGCCAACTTCCGGAAGCTGTCCTGCGACAATGGGTCCTCCTTGGTGCAGTCATCTTCATAACAGTATCTAAATCATGTCAAGAGAACAACTGTACTAGCAAAAGTATTAGCAATACAAGTGTGGCACTGAAAGGCTATAGAGCAGAGCAGAGCTCGAGCACCAATCAAACAGATTCAATAATAATGCATCTCATCATTAGGAATTTAGATATACTCAACAAAAGATGAGCAAGCATGTATGCACACACACATGCAAAGTAAGATTCTCACTTCTCAGTAATCTTGAACACCAATTTGAGTTGTGTTCATATCAGTTAATATGCTCTGTTGATGTAACTGAGGCTACAGAGTTACTAGATAAATATAGATAAAACCATAGGCAGGTAGATAATGGCAGTTGCTGTAAGGATACGGAGTTTTCAAGGCAGACAAGCCTGCTTGCAGGTAAATATTCAGCAATGGCTCCAGGGTCATGCCATATAACCTGCAGAACTCCTGTTTAAACTGATCTACCAGGAAGTCCCACTGCTTAGGTTCAAACAAAACCTAGATGCAAATCAAAAGAAATCATATAAGCAATGGCTGAACCTGTGCTTTATCAGCTCTTCCATAAGACAAGACGATATAAAATGTAAGAGTTTCACTTAAATAGAATTTTAGGAAAAACTGCTACTTCAGTGATAGAGTGGTCATTTACTGGTAAACATCTAACCCATGGCAGATGTTAAGTAAGCAATGCTAAGAAAAGGAATAAAATTCCTTTCTAGGTACCTAGGAAGCTAAATAAAAAGGGAAAATTATCTGTATAGCAAAGCAGTGTCACTACTAGTACCAGCAAAAATGAGTGGTTTAAAGATATGGAAGAAATAACAAAGCAAAATAAGCTACTCATTAATAAGTAAGTTTTACATACAATGAGGCAAGTATTCATATTTTGGCAGACAGGTAAGTATTCATACCTGTTTTCATATTCTGGAATCTAAATGAACAAAAGGCTTTATCACTAACAAATAAAAGTATGAAAATGATCAGAAGTAACACTATGCCAGACTCCACAAGTACATAGGCAGTGAAGGGAAGCATCAGGATTAATTCCTGTTGGAACAATATTAGGCAAAAGTAGGAAGAGGTGATGTTTTAAAATAATACAATTTTAGCTTGTTGTATTAACCAAATATACAAATTACTTGTGTCAAACAAAAACAAGGCTATTTATTTATTGCTATTTTTTTTTTTAAAAGAATGCTCCACATTTACCAGGTCATTAATGATGTTGATATGCAACAAACAATTGACCTCATTAAGTAAACAGAGCCAGAAGCTGTTTATTTTGCTTTAACTTCCATTACTTAAGATTCTTTTATCTTTATTATCGTCAAACAATCGTTCCACTTAAGCAACACGAGTAACTATGCTAACTTGAACCATAAGTCTATTCAAAGGAGGGATCAAATTTACCTTGTACTTAGCACATTCAGTATTACTTCTAAAGGCCAAAGTTGCCATGACTCGCTGCAATTCTTTCAAATGAGTTGCTCCCCATGGTGCAAGGTACCTTCGAGCATACAAAATAGCACGCATGTGGTTTTCAGCTCGTACCAACTCAATGAACTCCTGAAGTCTCAACTGGAATTCAAATTTGCTCTATCATCAAAAGCAACAGCAAAATGATTCAAGTTTAGACATATTCCTGGATATAATCTAAAATCACAGCTCTATAATGCAATTTGGGATATCCACAAAATTTTGACAGTAAGTACATTGAATGCACTTGCCGGAAATGAATGCAGCTAAGTAATTTAATAGCATAAATGATGATAATCCAAAATGAAAGCTCAGCAATATTTGAACTCTTAAAGAATTGTGGCTCTGGAAATGTTAAAATATCAAGTGAAACTCAAAGAGAGTAATGATCATGACAATTGAGAAAAATTGATGAATGCATACCTTGGACTTCTTCAACCGTGATTTGTTATCCACACACCAGGCAAGAGCAGGACCCACCTCCTGATTTCTAAGGGCATCAATAACTTTCTTAGCTTCTTGGAAAACATCAATATCAACAAGATCCTGGCAAATAAAATCCAATATTATTTCAAGCATATTTGTAGGCAGACAATGTGCATATGCCTTACAAAAGTAATTTATTTATTTTTACAAAATGACATTTATTTCAAACCATAGAACAGTCATTGACCAACTCTGGCCACACCAAAGTGGTTCTCAGGGAGGGTGGTACATGATGTCAAATTCATGCAGTGCAGTTAGTTCTAACTGAATGCTAAAATGATCAAAAAGTTTCTATTGGATCTCAGTAGCTATTAAGAAGAATATAATTGGAAATCACAGCGAAGACTCTGAAAAAGATGACAAGAATGTTTTCATTCGTGAGTATTTAAGGGAAAATTAAAAAGCTGCCCACCCAAAGCTAGAAACACTGATGAGTGACAAAGCATTCTGATCCAAAAAGTTAAACATGAGCGTACATGTATATTATTATAGAAACAAGGTGATGAAACCATTCTAATTCAAGCTAATACTACTTGATAATCTTTCCAAATTCTCCTATAACCAAAAGAAAAATAGTTAAAACAATCCTCTGGCGTTTCCACCTCCATTATTCAATTGAATTTTAAAAATTGACACCTCTAACACCTCCATAGTCAACAGACGAAAAGAAACAAGCGTGTAAAATTACCTGTATGTTGCTGTTTTCCGCCAGCTTCATTGCAGTGTCATAATACGACATTCGCAACATGTAGTCCACAAGAATCCGCTTCAATCGCACATTATTCCATTCAGACAGGTTCTCAGCATCCACTGATTCTAAGTGATCAAGACGAGCCCGACACCTTTGTGCCTGTAAGTTCTCTGTTCGACTCCCCTCTTCCAACTGAATTATGAAGAGCATATACCATGAACTTAAGGGTGTTACTCAACAATTTGGAAAACAAATTTATCCATTCCAATCTCTTAATTAGTGAAACACAAAAGGACAAAACCATTGACAATTGGGAAAACAAATTTATACAGTCCAATCTCTTATAATGAAACACAAAAGGACCAAACCATTGCTTGGAATTTACCATCACATAATCCATATAATCATCAAATGTTTGTAATGTTGAAGATACAAACATATAGGAATCACTACCCACGAACTTACAAAGGGTTACTTATCAGTTTGGATAACAAATATTGAATTTTGATGAAACATAAGACGCCGGATAAAATTCTTAAACATCTCAGGGCTTTCTACAATTTCTTACTCGCCAGCTCAGGCTATTTCAATCCATTGCCATTTTATACAGATTCAGGCTTTTTTATATTTAACCTTCAATTATCTCCCAAAATCCAATATGATAAGATTCAAA